GATTGTAAAGAAGATAGGATTGTAAAGAAGATAGGATTGTAAAGAAGGTTAAGAGCCGTGGGGTTATGCTGCAGCTCTATGAAACCCTGGTTAGACCACACTTGGAATGTTGTGTTCAGTTCTGGTTGCCTCATTATAGGAAGGATGTGGAAGTTTGAGTGGGTGCAGAGGAGATTTACCAGGATGCTGCCTGGACTGGAGGGCAGGTCTTATGAGGAAAGGCTGAGGGAGCAAGGGCTTTTTTCATTGGAGCAAAGAAGGATGAGAGGTGACTTGATAGAGATGATGTACAAGATGATGAGAGGCATAGATAGTTCTTTACACAGTGGTGGGCATGTGGAATGTGCTGCCGGCAGTGGTAGTGCAGTCAGATAGTTTAGAGACTTTGAAGCGACTCTTGGATAGGCACATGGAGGATAGTAAGATGTAGGGTATGCAGGGTAGTTTGATCTTAGTAGGATAATAGGTTGGCACAACGTCATGGGCCGAAGGGCCTGTAATGTGCTGTTCTATGTTCCTGTCTATAATCTCATTGGCTTGACAATAGGAGACGAGGGTGGTGGTAGAGGGTTGTTTTTCAGACTGGAAGCCCATGACCAGCGATGTTCTGCAGGGATCTGTGCTGCGTCCACTGTTTGTTATTTACGTAAATGATTTGGATGACAATATAAGAAGTATGGTCAGTGACTTTGCAGATGACAGCAAAATTGGTGGTATGGTAGACAGTGAGGAAAGTTATCTAAGATTTCAAAGGGATTTTGATCAATTGGCCAATGGGTAAAGGAGTGACAGATGGAATTTCATTTAGATAAATGTGAGGGTGTTACATTTTGGTAAGGCAGACAAGGGCGGGACTTACACCGTTAATGGTAGGGCCCTGGGTAGTGTTATAGAACAGAGACTTAGGGGTTCAGGTACATAGTTCGTTGAAAGTTGCAAGTCAGGTGGACAGAGTGGTAAAGAAGGCATTTAGCAGGCTTGCCTTCATTGCTCAGACCATTGAGTAGAGGAGTTGGGACATCATGTTGAGGCCGTACAGGATGTTGGTGAGGCTACTTTTGGAGTATTGTGTACAGTTCTGGTCACCCTACTATAGGAAGTACGTTATTCAATCGGAGAGGGTGCAGAAAAGATTTACAAAGATGTTGCTAGAACTGGAGGGTTTGAGTTACATTGAAAGGCTGGATAAACTGGGACTTTTTTCATTGGAGTGTAGGGGTTTGAGGGGTGACCTTTCAAGGTTTATAAAATCATGAGGGGCATAAATAAGGTGAATAGCAGAAGTCTTTTACCTAGGGTTGGGGTGTTTAAAACTATACCCTCTAGTTTTGAGGTGAGAGGAGAAAGATTGTAAAGGGGCCCGAGGGACAACTTTTTTCAGAGGGTGGTTTGTGTGTGGAATGAACTGCCATAGGAAGTGATAGATGCAGGTACAGCTACAACATTTAAAAGAC